TAAAAATAACAATATACTGCTTCATCAAATGCTAGGCTTTTATCTTCACATGCATTTCATCTTTTTCTTTTTTCGTGACATATTTTTAAGTCTATCAAATCAAATAAAAACCTGATAAATCTAGATAAATAGCTTCTGTTGTTCTTCTTTTAGGCATTATAAAATAAAAGAAAAACATTCCAGTCGATTCTTTATTGCTCTTTAGCACTTTAGCTCATGTCAGATCATGCCTTCAGCTTCATCTGCAAGAGTTTGATCAGTTTTGTTTGGAGGCTCAGAGTAATTCTTTCCTTATCAAATCAAACACATGGAATTTAAACTTTATTTTCCTTGTCTTCAAAGTTGTCTTCTGTGTGAAATGTGCACTTAATTTGCTCACTGTTTATGCAAAATAACGTTTGGAGACTCAGTCTGTCAGTGATTGGCAGACTAGTTTTAATACATTTAAAATAGTAGATCACAGGCCGGATAAAGTTGTAAAAAGGGCCCAGATCCGGCCCATGGGACTTCAGTTTGTGACACACAGCATTGATAACTTGGATCCTCTCATGCTGTGCTTTTCATGATTTAACTGGCATCACGTCTCATATATGGCTTCTGTTGCAGCTCAGATTTTACCTTATTCATTTTAGTTTTTTCACAGAACCTCACTCTCCAGTCTCCCAGCAGCCAGTCCAGCAACACATTTCCGAAGCCCTGATTCTCACTGTAACGGCTGCACAAACAGGGAAACATAATTACAGTCAGTCATACATGTGCTGCATCCATCAATGCTTTTCAGGGCTTCAGCATTTTCTCACCCAAAAGGTTTTTTTTTTTTCTTGCATGTGATGCCTTCTTTTTGTCATGGCCCCCATAGTTCTGAGCTGACCCCCTCAGCCCTGTCTCCTGACTGATCACAGTGATGGTTTATTACTGTCGTCCCAGCGCTCTTATCTTTAGCCAGCAATGCTCATTTCCTTCCCCAGATTTAAATGCAAATGTGAAATTTAATGATAAATGCATTATCTGATGAGTGCGATAACACTGATTCACTGTCAGTATAAAATACACACCCCAGGGGGCTTTGAGCTCGCAAGCACAACTTGCCCAAATCCACTTTTTTCCCCCCAGTTCTATCTTTCCCTTTTCTCCTCCCTCTCTCTCTCTTTTACCAACTCATGTACCTGTATTAAATTTTTGAGGTCATTTCATGCATTAAAAGGAATGACATTTTGTCTGTTCAGCTCTGTGTGTGCAGGCTTTGCTGAGCAGTAATTGCGGTGCAACCATCTTGTTCGGTGTATAATCCTTCACTTTGATGAAGTTATTTGCTGTTTGAAACTCTTAAGAAAAGCAATGTCTGTGCTGGATTAGGGGACACTTTGAAACACAGTGTGTGTTTTACCTCAGTGTTGTTTACATAACTGTCAAGTGAATGTCAGCTTTGTGTACAATATTAGGTCTTTTGTGATAGAGTATAACCCTGTAAAAAATGGCCTGAACACTGACGCATCTTTTCAGGGTCTCTGCAAGGTCTTCAGGTGAGTATTAGTTCAGCTTCCAAGTATGCATGATAGTGCTTGATGGATAGGTTCCCAGTAGTTCTGAACACACAAAACATTTGTCATGAGGTTGTGGAGGTTCATTGTCATAGTAGAAGTGTATCAAGGGCCTGGGTCAGGGGTCTGCAACCTTTACAATCAAAAAAGAGCCATTTCTGCTAATTAACGCACTAATAAAATTTGTCCAAAGCCGTAAAACAAGCTACAACTGTGATTATCAACTGGTGGCCCGTGGGACTTTTCTAGGTTTCTTTGGGAACCTTTATGGCCAGTGGAGGTGACATTATAAAACTAAAAAATATATTGTGAATTTTAATATTTAGTATTATTTTTACACATGAGCACAAATGAAAAGACTATATTCATGTAAACAAGAAAATACCACATATAGTTTATACAGAATTTCAGAAAATCTAGTACAACTAAACTATTCAATCATATTTTTTTCCTAATTCTTATTATTATGTAGTCTTCAAATTCTTTAAAGGTAATTCTGATGGATCTGAGAGAAATATCATAGAAGTTGGATTATTTAAGTACAGTCTACCATGAACTACTCAACATGTTTTACTTTTTGTATTAGTAAGGATTGATCACATATTTGCACACAAATAATTTCTGTTGTGGGTATAAAAACACTTTTATACACACACACACACACACACACACACACACACACACACACACACACACACACACACACAC